CCAGCTGGATGAGCTGAGCACCCTGGGGACAGCGGGCTAGGTGAGCTGAGCATCCTGGAACACCCAACCTGGGCTTGCTGAGCACCCTGGGGACACCTGTCTGGAGCAGCCAAGAACCTCGAGGAGCAGGGAGGTAACCCAAGAAGGTGAGCCAAGCCCCCTGGGGACACCCGGCCGGGCTACCTGCGTACCCTGGGGACACCTCCCGGTCTCGCCGCGCACCCCGGGGACACGCACCGGGCTGTGGCAGCCGAGCACCCGCGGCGCTGCGGGCAGGGCCGACCGCTCCCGGGGCCGTGCGGGGCGGTCGCTCGGCCCCCGCTCCCCGCCCGGCCCCGGCCGCCGCCCCGCCCGCTCCCCGCGCCGCCGCCCCCCGCCCGCCTCCCGGGAAGCGCGGGCACGGCCCCGCCGCCGCCGCCGCCCGCGGGTGGACGCGTCCCGCGCCCGCGGCCCCGCGCGCCGCGCCAGGTGGGTCCGCGGGGCCTCGCGCGGGGGGCGCGGGGGGGCGGCGGGACACCCACGGCACCCACGGCACCCACGGCCCCGCGTGGGGACGTGGCGCGACACACACACACACGCACACACACGCACACAGACCCCGCGCGTGGGGACACGGAGTGGGGACATGGCGCAGGGACACGGCACACAGGTCCCTTCGCTGGGGCCGTGGGATGCCACCCACCCCTTCGCGTGGGGACACTGTGTGGCGCCTTTCCACGGGGACACGGCAGGGGACATGGCACGGCTGCTTTCCTCTGGGACATGGCGTGGGGTGGGGATGCAGCGTCACCCCCCCCCGGCAGGGGGACATGGTGTGGGGACGCAGATGGGACCCCTTCTGTGCTGGGACATGGCATGGACCGTGCGGGGCTCAACACACCCCCCTCCGCAAGGGGACACGCTGTGGAGGATGCGGCAGAGGGACATACTATGGGCTCCTTCCCCTGGGTGACAGCACGGGGACATGGCACAATCCCCTTTGCAGGGGTGTGGGGACATGACACGTCCCCTCTCTGTGTGGGGACCCAGCATGGGTGGCCTGGCCACTTCGCCAGAACTCTCCCCCCAGCGATCCTTGGCTGAGGCCGGACTAACTCATTGCTGGGATAACGGGGCTGGGTTGGGCCACCCCCTCCCCTGGAAATCCCCTGGGGGTGTCACCAGGTAAGTCCTGATAGCTCTGCCTCAAATGGACACAGTCACCCGCGGCTCCACGGCCACCCACAGTCCTTTGGCCCCCCGAGGCTCACACGGGGCTGTCCCTTTCCCGCAGCCCCCGTGGCTCAGAGCGGGTGCCCTCCCTGGGGGCTGCACCCTGGGCACCTGCCTGCCCTGGGGCTGCAGCCGGGGCTCTCTTCCCCCAGATCCCCTCTTGCAGTCCGGGGGGGTCCCGCACCCCCGCGAGCACATCCCTCCTGGCACCTTGTGATGGCCCCGGGACCTGCTGCCTCCCTGCCACCAGCTGGAGAGGAGAAGCCAGCGGGGACTGCCGGGAAGGGGGACTAATCCCCCATCCATGGCAGGGGGCAACCACCCGGGGCTACCGGAGAGCAGCCCAGCGCCCGGAGCCTGCGCCCGTCCCTCGTCCCCCCACCGTCCACGCCGCCGCCCAGGAGGCTCCCGGTGAGCCCCAGCCATGTAGGCGCAGCCTGGGGCTCCGCCGATGGCCACTGTCAACATGCAGCAGGGCTACGCGGCCGTCCTGTGTGAGTAGAGCTCGGGGACAGGGGGGATGGCCCGGGGTCACCTCAGTGGGTGTCCCCGAGGGAGGTGACACCGCTGGCTTTGGCTGCCCAGGTGTCCTGGCTGTGCTGGGGCTGGAGGCCACTGCGCCGGGCGAATGTGAGCTCACCCGCCTGCTCCAGGACAAGCTGCAGTACGAGATGCGCCTGCAGTACATGGTAAGCTCAGGTTTGGGGGGTGGGGGGCACACGTGGCATTGCAGGGCCCTGGTTTGCTCCAGGGGGGACATGGGAGGGCAGCACCCACTGCTCTAGAGTGGCCAGGTGCTGGGGGGGTGGGTTTTTTTACCAGAGGCAACTTGTGCCAAATGGTGCCCAGAGCTGATCTTGCTGGGGGCTGACCGTGTCAAAAGGCTCTTCCACGAGCTCCTCATTGTCATGCCGAGGCTGGTGGGGATGTCCCAATCACTTTGCCCCCTTCCAGCCTCCATGCTCTGCTCCATCTTTCCAGAAACACTACTTTCCCATCGACTACACGGTCCAGGTCCAGTACGAAGAGGTGCTGAGGCCGTCCAACATCACCCGCCTGGTAAGATGGTGGCAGGAAACAGCCCCGTGATGGGGGCACTGCGGGGACCCACGAGGGCTGCGTGAGTCTCACCCGGGACACCCTCTCGCCCTTCAGCGCAATGGGACAGTGTCGGAGACAGCACTGCGGTACCTCTGGTTCCATGTCAGCTCCCAGGCAGTGCTGCGGATCCGTGAGGTGCTGCCAGAGAAGCACCCATCCTGGAAGTACACCCAGGAGCTGTGCCAGCTCTTTGACGCCCTGGGTGAGGAGTACAGCAAGTACCGGCAGGTGAGGATCCCCCGCGGCCCCCCGGCACCCCAGCGCAGCCGCACGTCACACACACGTGTGTGCTGGGAAGAGATGCACCCACAGCCATGAGCCCCCGGGCGGGCACAGCACAGGCGTGGACACCCCGCTGCAGGCGGGTCCTTTGGGAGGGCTGGCGGGGACAGGGAGCGGGGACGGAGATTGGGAGTGGGGTTCGGGGCCGTGGGGCAGCGCCGGGAATCGCCGCACATCTGGCATTGGTGGTTCAGTGGTAGAATTCTCGCCTGCCACGCGGGAGGCCCGGGTTCGATTCCCGGCCAATGCAACAGCTGGATATTTTTCTTGCCTGTAACCCTTGAGAGGCGGGCAGAGCTGGGAAGGGGGGAACGAGACTGTCACCCCCCGCTCACGGGGTGGCACTGCCAAGGCCGGGTGGTTAGGGGGGCGTCAGGCAGAATGTGCCCCCGAATTCAGCCCTGTTTTCCCGGTGGCGATCCTGCCTCTCCTCCCAAGCTTCGGCTGTCTCGATGGAGCTGCTGAACCACGAGGCAGCTGCTTTGGGTACTGGATGTGGGTGCCCTGCTTTGGGTGCTGGATGTGGGTGCCCTATCACAGCTGGGTCACCAGTGTGAACCCGCAGTGTGTCTGCATTCTCTTGAGCCGTGGGTCGGGTTCTGCAGCCCCTCTGAGGAGAGAGTGGGCTGTGCTCGCTTGTCTCATCAGGCAGTGTTAACTCCGAAGGCTCATGACGAGCCCCCCTCGCTGGAGGTGATGTGTGAGGCAGCAGCAAGAGGGGCTCCCCTGGGCTGGAGCCCCGGTGTCAGAGCTGTCTGTGGGGGTGCTCTGGGAGGGGGTGTTCGCTGGCAATGCCTGTCCCTGCTGCTCCAGCCCAGCGGGTTTGGGGCTGTGTGGGGGAGGGCTGCGCTGTGCTGCACATCTGGCATTGGTGGTTCAGTGGTAGAATTCTCGCCTGCCACGCGGGAGGCCCGGGTTCGATTCCCGGCCAATGCAACAGCTGTATTATCTTGCACCCTTTTGTCCCCTGGGGGCTGCCAGGGCGCCCGTGGTGCTCCCTTGGGCCCCACTGTCCCCGGGCCCTGACACTCTTCTGTCCTTTGTGGGGGTGCTCAGGCTCCAAGGGTGGCAGCAGCAGCTCTGCCCGCAGTGAGTGTCCCTGGCTTGGTGGCACTGAGGGGGGCAGTGAGAGGGGTTTGGTGACAGTGAGCATCTCAGCTGCATGCATGGTAAGGAGGGACACCAGCTCAGTGGCAGCAAGGCATCCTGTGTCCCTGCCTTGGGAGTAGTGGAAGGCGCTGGTCCCCATCAGGGGTGCCCAGTCCTCAGGGAGGTGGACCAGCTGTGGGCAGCCCCACACCTGGCATAGGTGGCTCAGTGGGACTATTTTGTGCTCCCTCCCCAAGAGCCCAGGTTTGGCTCCTGGCCAGGGCAGCCCTATGTCCTTCACCTCTGCACTCTCCAGCCCCTCCACCTGACTTGGACTCCATGCAGCCATGGGCTGCACCCCAAAGTGGAGGTGTTTGGGTGCTGGGTGAGCGTGGTCTGTCATAGCTGGGTCTCCAACAAGAACCTAGGATGTGGCTGTGTTGTCCTGTGCCATGAGGCAGGTTCTGCAGCCCGTCCAAAGGAATTGTGAGCTTTGCTTGGTGGTCTCATCAGAGTTTTAAGTCTGAAGGCTCATGACAAGCCCTCCTTGCTGGAGGTGATTTGAGGCATCAGGAAGAAGTGCTCCCATGGCAGGAGCCCCATTTTCAGAACTGTTTGTTGGGGTCTCCATGTGAGTGTGTCTGTGGTGTGTTCACAGCCAACAGTGCCTGTCCCTGTTGCTCTGCTGGGTTTGGGACGATGGGGCAGCGCTGAGGACTGCTGCACATCTGGCATTGGTGGTTCAGTGGTAGAATTCTCGCCTGCCACGCGGGAGGCCCGGGTTCGATTCCCGGCCAATGCAACAGCCCTGTCATTTTGCACCC